CGCCGCCCGGCTGTCTCGCCCCCGCCGGCGTGGCTGGGCTGGGAGCCCCGGGTGAACCCCTTTGCTCTCCCCGAGCAGTGTTCAGTGAGGCCTCGCCAGGATCCAGTACAAATGGGAGTGATTCGGGGGCGCGCTCCGCACCCCATGCCTCCCAAAATCAGCATGCTCAGGCCACGTCCAGACCTGGGCTGGGGTTCCTCGGAGCAGGGCAGCAGCGCTCCCTGCCCCAAAACAGCCTCAGTTTGCTCCCTGACCACGATGCGAAGCCCTGTGCCTGCCTCTGCCCTCTTCCTGACTCTCCGGCTGCCCGGTCAACGGCCCCGTGTCGACTTGTTGAGTATCCGAGGTGAAATCAGTGATGGGGCTCAGCAGGAGCGCAGCCGCGGTGCTGGGAGCATCCGGGGAGGTGCAGATGGCCTGAGATGTTGTCCACGTCCCCAGAAAACCGCCCATGTTCCCTGATGGGGAGCAAGATTCCTGCCGTGCTTCAGGGCAAACGGGCCTTTTATTTTTGGATGGGTGCTGCCCAGCGGTTGGCTGCACTAGGAGGGGGGTTGCGTAGAATTGAGGGGCTGCAAGGTGCCTGCCATGGACCCTGGGTGGAAGGGTTCATGTCCTGGCCTCAAACTCTCCACCCAGCGCTGGATCCGTGTTTGCCAACAGCTTTATCTGTTCTTATTTCAGGTGACTGGCCCCTCTGGAGAAGGAACAGACGCCATAGTCATCCTGGAAAAGACTCCTTTCCAGGAGGAGAAGGTATCGGACCTGCTGAAGAAGCACACGAAGCTGGAGCTGCAGATGCACAACGACATTTACAGCACCTACCACCTCTATCCTCCCCCGGAGCTGAGCGGTGAGCGCTCTCGGCCTCGCGCGGGGAGGGTCTCGGGGCGGCTGCGGACCAGTGGTCATGGCTGGGATGCCAGTCGGTGCGCTCCTGCCGGCTCTGGAGGGGGGGATGCAGCGAGACGGGCAAACGCCGCTGCCGGACCTGGCTGCGCCACCCTGGTTGTGGTTTGGCTGGCAGCAGCAGACCTGGCCGAGGCGGGGAAATCAGCAGATCATTGCTGCTCTGAAGGCAACATCTTATTCCTATGCCTTTTTTTTGTTTGCTTTAAAAATGAACAGGGGCTTGAGGCTCTGAAAGCTTTCCTTGTGTTTTTTTTTCGGTGATGTCAGTTAATCTGGTAAGGTATTGTCTCTCTCCGTAAGGTTTACCTTGAAAACAATCACTGCCCGTGTCAGCTTCTTCTCATTCTAGGGTATCATCTCATGCACTTTATTTGTGTTGCCTGGTAAGGACAGACAGCTAGCGTGTTTGCAGGGGGGATTTAAATGCTGGTGACCTGGAGTGCCTGGGGCAGACGGGCACCTGGCCTCTGCCTTTCAAGCCTCTCCCCTCTGATTTTGCACAAAAAATGTTACGAAACCGGATTAATAAGCGAGTATGATGAGATTAGATGAGCAGGTCGGAGAGCTTCAGTGGAAGGCTGTCATCCTGCGAGATGGATTCTCGTCACGGCAGAACGGTGTCCTGCGATTGCGGCGCTCTGCAGCTGCCGCTGGAATGCAGGGCTGCTCTTTTGGCAGGCCAGGCGCTTTGATTTGGTGCTGGTATGTGTTTAAATTCTGGAAGTGCAGTGAGCAGGTACGTGTCAATGCTCCCATAAGCACGGTGATAGCCAAACAGGTTTAACGCAGTCAAAATTAATCCGAGTGATAGCCTTAAGTAAGAAGTTGTTGCGGTCCTGAATTAAGTTTTCGGGATGTTTGACGTTCCTTCCCAAAAATGCTCCTATTTTAGCGCTATGTCCATGGTGTAGGAGGAAGTGCTGTCTGGTTTTGGGAGCTTGAGTTGTGCAAAGCCCCTCTTGTCCTGTCGAGGGCTTTAAATCAGAGGTTTCAGTGTTACAATGCCACGTTTCAATGGCAGGAAAACACCGCAACACCCTGGTTTTTTGCGGCTGCCCTGCGTGGGAAGATGTAAAGCTATGCTTCATCGGCTGGAAAGGCTCCTGCTTGGGCTCCTGCTGTGTTCGAGGTCGGCAGCGACTTGCAGCGATTCCCACGAGGTGGCATTGCAAGACTAAAATCCCCTGTGCCTCTCTCTGGCTGCAGCCCTGCCAGCCGTGCTGGCGTTTGACTTCCTTGTAGCACTTCATTGCAGTGCTGTATAACTCCTGCATTACTCCAATAGCAAAATTTTTTTATTTAATTTAAGATTTATGCCAGGTGTGAAGCCCCTTGCTGGGGTGAAAAGGCTGTTAGAGGGTTGCCAGTCTCTGTCAGCACCGTGCCAGATCCTGCTCTTTCAGAGAGGCTTGAGCAAAAACGGGTGAATCTGGGTCTTCTCACATCCCATTTCTGGGCCTTCATTAAAGGCCAGAAAAAACCAACCTTGCCCGGGTTGTTTCTGTTCCTCCTGTCCCCTGTGCCATGACTGCCCCACGTAGCCACGCTGTTTGTCTCACGTACAGGACCAATCCTGCTGCGCTTCCGGACGAGTGTTCTTGCCGTTCCTCTTGCAGGTTTGAACGGGCAAAAAACCTCTGGCTTCCTTCTGCTGAAGCTTATCTTGTTAATCACTTTAAAAATTGCCGTTAAAAGGCAGGTTTTGCAGAAACATTACTCAGTGGTGCATCTTTGCTTCCCAGCCCTCTCCTTGGCATTGCGGCGCCTGCTCTGGGTGTTGGGCAGGAGACCTGGTGGGGGGACTGTGCACCCTGGTGCTGCCCTCCAGGCTCCCCAGCTGTGAACGGGGAGGCTTCTTTCTTTGAAGCAGTTCAGAGCCAAATAGCCATTTTTGTGGGCCCGTTGTGTGAGCTGCTGGCTGGCAGCTGGGCTGGCACCAGAGGGAACGGTTGCACGCATCAGGAGGGGAAGGAAATTGCCCTTTTGAGCCGAGTCATGGCCCGGGGAGGGAGTTGATACGAGGAATGCAGCTCATAAACTGAAAATGGAGGAGGAGAAATTTCCCGTACGGCTGCAGACAATGTCAGAACTTGTGAGAAATCCCTGGATGCCGAGCGATCGTGCAGAGACCCAGCGAGCCCTCGCACGGGGTCTGTCTCGGCCCCCTGGTTGCAGGGTTAGAGAGCTACAGGCTTTTATCTCCTGGCGCTTGCAGGTTTGCACCCGGTTAACCTGATGCAGTAGAAGTATTTTGCAGAAAAGGTCAAAGTTGTTGCGGTCCTGAATTAAGTTTTCGGGATGTTTGACGTTCCTTCCCAAAAATGCTCCTATTTTAGCGCTATGTCCATGGTGTAGGAGGAAGTGCTGTCTGGTTTTGGGAGCTTGAGTTGTGCAAAGCCCCTCTTGTCCTGTCGAGGGCTTTAAATCAGAGGTTTCAGTGTTACAATGCCACGTTTCAATGGCAGGAAAACACCGCAACACCCTGGTTTTTTGCGGCTGCCCTGCGTGGGAAGATGTAAAGCTATGCTTCATCGGCTGGAAAGGCTCCTGCTTGGGCTCCTGCTGTGTTCGAGGTCGGCAGCGACTTGCAGCGATTCCCACGAGGTGGCATTGCAAGACTAAAATCCCCTGTGCCTCTCTCTGGCTGCAGCCCTGCCAGCCGTGCTGGCGTTTGACTTCCTTGTAGCACTTCATTGCAGTGCTGTATAACTCCTGCATTACTCCAATA